CCCCCCGTTCCTGATCCCGCTCCGCCGGGGCCGAGGTTGTAAATATTTTTACAGACTTGTATTAATTGTATAAAAAAAAACCCACAAAAAAAAAGGAGGGAAAAAGAACAAAAAAAAAAACAAAAAAAAAAAACCACAAAAAACACAAAAACCAGGAAAAAAAAAAAAAAAAAAGAAAAAAAAGAAGAAAAAAGAAAAAAAAAAAAAAGAACCAAATCGCGGCCCAGCAATAATGTGGATTTTTCCAACCCCCCCCCGGCCCCGGTGCCTTAGCGACCCCCCGGCTCGGGGGGGCCAATTAATCCATTAACGAGCCGGGGGCGGTTTTGGGGGGGCGGCTCCGGCCCCCCCCGGGGGTCCCCCCGAAGTGCCTCCGCTCCGCGTCCCATTAATGAACTAAAAACCGGCAAAAAAATCCGAATAAAGGGAAAAAAAAAAAAATCCAAAACCGAGTGAGGTGTGGAATTCGGGGGGTGGGGGTTTCATGGCGCAGCCCCAAAAAAAAAAATCCAAAACCGAGTGAGGTGTGGAATTCGGGGGTGGGGGTTCCATGGCGCAGCCGCCCCCAATTCCCACCGGATCCTGCCCGGTCCCGCTCCCGTTCTTGGGGGGAATTCCGTGCGGAACGGATAAAAAACGGGTTAAAAAATCCCGAACCCCGGGAATTGGGGAACTTCGGGACGGAAATCCCGCCGGGATCCACCATGGGCGCCGCCATGGGCGCCGCCATGGCCGCGCGACGCCGCTCAGGAAGGGCCCCCCCGGGGCTGCCCGCGGCGGTGCCTGAGGCGGGAGGTGAGGTAGAGGCCGCGCCTGAGGGCGATCCCGGCGGTCCAAAACCGAGAGTGATCCCGGTGAGTGATCCCGGTGAGCGATCCTGCTGGCAGATCCCGGTGGAGCATCCCGGTGCTTCCTCCAGTCGCGGACCGCGGAGTTTTTCAGGCGCCATCGGGGCCGCCCGAGGCGCGGGGTCCTCTCCTGTCCCTCCGCGCTCATTGGCTGCTCCCCTCTCCGCCTTTCGGAGCTCTGATTGGTCAGCGCGAATTTGGGCCCGCCTCCTCCTCAGCGCGCGGGGTTCTCGAGCGCCCCCTGGTGGAGCTGGACTCCCACAATGCACCGCGCGGGGCCCGGGGGCGTTTTAGGGCAAATTTGGGGATTTTGGGGCAGATTTGGGGGAATTTGGGGCGGATTTTCAAGTCCAGGGGGGAAAACGGCGACAGATTCAGAGATCTGGGGGCAGACCTGGAGCTGATTTGGGAGTGGGGGCAGATTTGAGGTGTTTCAGGGCAGATTTTGGGGTCCAGGGGCAGATTTTGGGGTCTTGGGGCAGATTTTGGGGTCCAGGGGCAGATTTTGGGGTTTGGGGGCAGATTTTGGAGCCCGGGCTCCCTTCCCCCACCCCCTCCACGTGCAGTTCCCCATTCCAGCTCTCACAGAAATCCCTTCCCCGCCCCGAGCTCGGAGCTTTGGGTGCAAAAACCCCAATTTTGCGCAATGGCCACAAAGCTGCATTTCCTGCGGCCCCGGGAGCGCTTCCTTCCTGCGCCGCGCGCCCGGCCCGGCCGATCCCGGTGATCCCGGCGGATCCCGGTGATCCCGGTGATCCCTCGGCGCCGGGGAGCGCCTGGAGCGGGAGGAAGATGAGGATGAGGATGAGGATGAGGATGAAGATGAGGTTGGCGTTTCTGCTCCTCGTGGCTGCGGCCTCGTGCTCGAGCCAGACCGGGCAGGATCCCGGCGAGGATTCCCGCCAGAATTCCCGGGATTTGACCGAGGATTCCCGCCAGAATTCCCGGGATTTGACCGAGGATTCCCGCCAGAATTCCCGGGATTTGCCCGAGGATTCCCGCCAGAATTCCCGGGATTCCCGCCGGGCTTTTCGGGATTCCCGCCGGGATTCCCGCCGGGGCTCCGGCGCCGCCGCCCCGGGGCTCCTCCCGGCGCCGCTGCTGCTCCGGTTGCCCTCGGAGGCGGGGCCCCCCCGGATCCGGTGCCTGGCCCCGCGGCGTTTCACCGGCAGCACCTTCGAGCTCCTCCGGGGGGTCCCGGGGGTCCCGGTGCGGAGCCTCCCCGCCGATCCCTACCGGCACTGGGCCGAGTTCGCCCTGCCCGGAGCCGCCGGCTGCTTCCGCTGCCGGTACCGGAGCCACGACGGCAGCGCCTGGCGGGAGTCGGAGCTGAGCCCCGGCACCGGCGGCTCCGGTGCGTGCGGGGAAAGCCGGGGGATCCCCGTCCCGCATCCCGGGGCCGGCCCGGAGCCGAATCCGGGGTTTTTCTCCCCAGATTTGGGCGATGCTGAGTGTCAGCCGAGCACCGGCACCGCCGCGGGACCCGCACCCACGGCCGGGACCCTGCAGAACGGCACCGGGACCCCGCGGGGCGGCACCGGGACCCTGCAGAACGGTACCGGGACCCCGCGGGGCGGCACCGGGACCCCGCAGAACGGTACCGGGACCCCGTGGAACGGTACCGGGACCCCGCGGGGCGGCACCGGGACCCCGCGGGACGGCACCGGGACCCCGTGGAACGGTACCGGGACCCCGCGGGACGGCACCGGGACCCTGCAGAATTTCACCGGCAGCACCTTCGAGCTCCTCCGGGGGGTCCCGGGGGTCCCGGTGCGGAGCCTCCCCGCCGATCCCTACCGGCACTGGGCCGAGTTCGCCCTGCCCGGAGCCGCCGGCTGCTTCCGCTGCCGGTACCGGAGCCACGACGGCAGCGCCTGGCGGGAGTCGGAGCTGAGCCCCGGCACCGGCGGCTCCGGTGCGTGCGGGGAAAGCCGGGGGATCCCCGTCCCGCATCCCGGGGCCGGCCCGGAGCCGAATCCGGGGTTTTTCTCCCCAGATTTGGGCGATGCTGAGTGTCAGCCGAGCACCGGCACCGCCGCGGGACCCGCACCCACGGCCGGGACCCTGCAGAACGGCACCGGGACCCCGCGGGACGGCACCGGGACCCTGCAGAACGGTACCGGGACCCCGCGGGACGGCACCGGGACCTCGCCCGGGCTGATCCCTGTCACGCTCCCGGTGCCAGATCCCGGTTCTGGATCCCGGTACCGGATCCCGGTGATCCCCCGCCCTCTCTCCCTTCCAGATCCTCCCTGGCTCCTCCCGGTCTCGGTCGGTGTCGCCGTCCCGGGGCTGCTGCTGCTGCTGGGGGCTGCGGCCGCGGCCGGGCGAGGTGGGAGGGGGGCTCGGAACCGGAGGCTCGGAACCGGGAATCCGGGGGTTCGGAACCGGGAATTCGGGGGGCTCGGAACCGGGAATTCGGGGGGCTCGGAACCGGGAATTCGGGGGGATTCAGAACCGGGAATCCCGGGGGGTTCGGAACCGGGAATGCCGGGGACTCAGAACCGGGAATCGCGGGGGTCTCACCGCCCAGGGACCCCCACCCCACTCTGCTGGGCCCCTCCGGTGCCACCGGTTCTGTCCTCTCAGGCCTCCGGCGGCGGCGTGGACGGACCCCCACGGTGCCGGTGGCGGCCCCGGTAAGGCCGGAGCCCCCCGTGACCCCCGAACCCACCCCGGACCCCTCAGTCCCAGCCAAGTCCCCCCAAATCCACACCCGCGCCCCTCCTGTCCCGGCAGAGCTTCCCCTTGGCCCCCGCGCCGACGTCGCTGTCCCCGTGAGGGGTCCCGGGGGTCCCGGTCGGCCCCCGCTCCGTCCCGGTGTCCCCACGGATCGAGGCTGGCCCTGGATCCGGTCACCGGGAGGAGCCCCCCCCCCTCCGGTGCTGCCGGGGCTCCACCGGACTGGCCGGTGCAATAAAGGTGTGAATCTCCAGCGCCGCCGCATTCCCGGTGTCCCGGTACCATTCCCGGTGTCCCGCTCCCGGTGTCCCGCTCCCATTCCCGGTATCCCGCTCCCATTCCCGGTGTCCCATTCCTGGTATCCCGCTCCCATTCCCGGTGCCCATTCCCGGTGTCCCATTCCCGGTATCCCGCTCCCATTCCCGGTGCCCATTCTCGGTATTCCGTTTCCATTCCCGGTGCCCACTCCCGGTATCCCGCTCCCATTCCCGGTATCCTGCTCCCATTCCCCGTGCCCATTCCCGGTATCCCGCTCCCATTCCCGGTATCCCACTCCCGGCATCCCGCTCCCATTCCCAGTGTCCCATTCCCGGTGTCCCATTCCCGGTATCCCGCTCCCATTCCCGGTGCCCATTCCCGGTATCCCTCCCATCCGCCAGGGGGCGCCCCACCCCCCTCCCTCTACCGTTCCTCGATGGGCGTGGCCTCTTACGGAGTGGGCGTGGCCACCCCCGGCGCGGCCGCGGCGGGGTGGGCGTGGCCCCGGTGGGTGGCGGCAGGGGGGCGGGGCCCCGCGTGGGCGGGGCGCGGCGCGGTCCAAGATGGCCGCGGTGTCGGTGTTCCCCGGCGTGCGGCTCCTCACGGTCGGGGACGCGAACGGGGAGATCCAGCGGCACCAGGAGCAGCAACCGCTGCGCCTCGAGGTCCGCACCGGCCCCGACAGCGCCGCCATCGCCCTCTACGGCCGTGAGTGCGCCGGGAGGGCCCGGCCGGGGCGGGGGGCCCGGAGGGGGAGGG